TGCTATCATATAAAATGTATTTATTAGAAAAAATAAAAATTTTATAATTATTATAAAGAAAAATAAAGTACTATTTGCTCACCATTTTAAGTTGAATTTTTAAAATCAACGCAAAAATAAGACTTTCGTTTCCTTTCAAAATTTTATAAATTTTATTTATTTTCTAATAAATACATTTAAATTATTTGAGTATGTTTCATTTTTTTATAAAATAGCTTTTTAATAGGATTTAATTTTATATTTTTATCAAAAGTTGTAAATATTGGGAAAAGAAAATTTAATAAAATGAAATAAAGAAATGAAATAAATTAAGATAATTGACCCATAATTATTATTCTTTGTTATTAGAACAAAATGTATTTATTATAAATGAAATATATTTTTTATAATTATTATGAAAGAAATTAAATTACTATTTTGACCCCTATTTAAAGTTGAATGTTTAAAATTAAAGGCAAAAATAATAGTTTTATTTCATTTTTAAAAATTTTAATTTCATTTATTTTTTAATATATACATTTTAGTATAATAGTAAAAAGTAATAATTTTGAATCTATTACCTTAAGGCTTGATAGAAAGGATGGAAATGAATAAAAATGAAAAATATGTTAATTTAATGGTTAAATTATAAGGTGAGAAAGTTGTTATTAATTTTAACTATTAGATGAACAAATTTTTCGTATTTTTCATCAAATAAAGCTTAAAATTGTAACTTTCTGGCAAATTTTGGTCAGAAAACATCTTGATATAATTTTTAAAAGATTTGGAACTATTACAGAAATATTACCATTGATGCAGTCCAATATTATAAAAAACTATCACAAAATAAATTAAAATTTAAGAATCAAAATAAAACCCAAATAAAAAAAAATCGAAACTACATATGCACTTGATTTTAATTATCAATGCATGCAGCGACAATCAAACCATCTAACGGAAGCATGCTAGAATCCAAGAAAAAAAAAGTACAAAGACATGGATTAAATAATTAGCCTTGGTAACCAAAATTCTCAAGTTGAAGGCTACAACCTTAAATTTTCTACTTTGATAACAACTTACAAACTACTCTATTAAAATATTGAATGTTTGAAGTATAATTGCAAGCGAATTAGGGTTTAATTTAATCAATTTATGTAATTATTTTTAAAATTAATATTTAATAATTTTAAATTTTAAAATAATTATTTGTTTATCTCAAATTATAATATATTTTTTTTATCAATGTCTGTTGGTCTAAGTGACAAGAAGTTATATTTTTTTTAAGTAAGGTTTCAATTTCAAAATTTGTGAATAAAAAAAATAAATATTAAAAAAACTTATCCTTTTTATAAGATCAAATCTCACACGACTCCATAATAGTTGAAATTTCAAGTGACTATTGGATACTGAAAGATCTTAGATAAAAAAAAATTTATAAAAAAAATTTAATTCCAAAAAATGGAGAACTTTCAACTATATGGTTTATGTATAAATTAGGATTTATGTAGGACAAGTAGAGTGACTGAAATTTCAGTCTCTTAAGAGTTGGTCCAACTCGTAGTTGGGTTGGTGAGAGTTGGTAAGGCCTTGTCATTATTATTATTGCACATTTAAAATTTGGCTGCTATCTCTATTTTCTTTTGTTATTATTTATTTAATTGATAAAAAGGGCAGTGGCAGAAGTTTTGGGGGAGTTTTGAATTTGAGCAACAATGGTTGAAACCTGAAAGTGGCACCATGCCACCAACCCCGAAAATGTATGCTTCCAGGGGAAAAGGAGCTGAAGTGGAGGAACAGGAAAACGGGGTCGATTTTCAGGCGGTGGTTGGTGGTGTTGAAATGACTGAATTGCCACTCAACAACCTCATTAGCCATCGCATTGATGAAAATAGTTAGAAATATGAACAGATCATATATTCGTTATTTTTTAATATTCGTATTCGAATTTATTTAAATATAATATTATTATTTAAATTTATATTCAATTAAATATGTATTATTTATTAAATATTTGTATCTGAATCCGTATTCAATTAAATAAGTATTATTCATTAAATATTTTAATCTATTAAAATATCGAATACTTAATTTTTTGTGAAAATATAAAATAAAATGAATTAAATTTAAATTCAAGTTGAATCTTTTTTTTTTTTTGAAACAAAGGAAGAGAGGTGGCTCTTCGATCCAGTACATGTCTTGATCACAACTCAAAGCATGTTTGGCTAGACTATGAGCTACATTGTTTCCTGTCCTTCCTATGTGAATGAAATTACTGCTGGTAAAACCTCTACTTATATCCTTTGCTTCTCCAGTTATCACGCCTATGGGTGACAAGTCCAGTTCGCACAACTGTAACCGTTTTAATACAGTCAATGAGTCTCCCTCTATTATTATAGAGCTAAATCCCACGCAAAGTTGAGAGCAGTAACAGCTCCTCTTGCTTCTGCCATGAACAAGTTATCAACCCTATGGATCCTGGTCGCACATGCTCCCATCAATTGGCCTTGTGAGTTACGGATCACGACTCCCACTCTTGCTGTCTTCTCAGATCGATTCAGTGCAACATCAAAATTCACCTTATAACTTCCATTGTTGGGTGATTGCCATCAAGAAGGTTCCTGCTTCTGTCCCCTCCTTGCTCTCTCCTGAGCTTGGTTGTATTCATGGCTGCATTGTCTGATGAAATTTTCATTGCGACTTACTGTGCCTATCTCCTATCCATGTAAAGTTTTGTTTCTATTTCGGTTGTTAGCTTTAATATCTTTCCTTTGAGCCATAAATGTCCTTCATCTGGTTCACCACATTGAGTATCCCAAGAAAAATTCGGACACTATCATACCTTTTTCACTGCTTCGTATTTTTTAAAGCATGGAATAACGTTTCTCTTTTATTTTTGCATCTTCCACAAACCTCATCGACTTGAATTCCTCGTTGTACCAGTGCAACCATGGTTGGTAATATACCACGACATGCCTTCCATAAGAAAACTTTGATTTTGTTTGGAACATTTGTTGTCTATAATTTCCTCCACATATGTTCCTACTGGCCCATTGTGCCAGTCGCGATGCTCTTCATTGCTTAGCATCCTAATAACCTTTTCATGAATATCTCCCGTTATCACTATGCCATACAAGAATGTCTGACCCTTTCCCCCATACTCATTGATATCTATGCTGATGGTCTGCTTCGTTTCACAAATTTTTCACTATTATCATGCATGCTTTAGGTACTAATATAAAGTACTGTGAAAGGTACCCACTGATCGGTTATCTTGTGGATTTTTTGTTTCTACCCTCCACCTCACTCGCCCTTGAGTGTTAGAAATAGACTCTCACGAACTCCTCCACTTAATGATGGCTTGTTGCCCAAACTCGAATGAAGAAATGAAACTTTTGGAAAGTATTTACCTTTAAGCACACGACGCACAAGTGTGTGTTCATTCTTGAGTAGCCGCTATATTGTTTAGGCTCCATTGTCTTGTTGATGCTGGTCATGTCATGGAACCCCATTCTTCCATGCTTCTTTGAGCAACACATCTTATCCCAACTAAGCGAGTGTAGTCCTTTTTTGTCCTTGTTTTGCTTTCACTAAAACTTGCTTATGACTCAATTCATTGCCATTTGCAATGTTTTAGGAAGTAGAAAACATCCCATGGTATAAGTTGGGATAGATTGCACCACATATTTGATAAACACCTCCTTGCCCCCTTGTGAAAACATTAGCTAAGCCTTCCAGTCATTCACCTCTCCATTCTATCCTTAAGCTCTTTAAAAGCTCTCTTTCTTGCCCTCCCACCATAGAAGGCACTCTTAGATATTTCTCCATGCTCGATATGGTCTCGATGCTCAACATAATCTTGGTTTAGGATTTCATCTTGTCCTGCATTTTGTAGCTGAAAGTTTATGCACTAGCCAGAGGTTTCTTCATACCTCCTTAGCACCTGCCTTACCACCTCGCTTTTGTTTTTATTTGCTTTAGCAAATAAGATACTACCATCAGTCGAAAAAGAGTTGAGTAACTCTGGCTCCAGCCTTACTTGCCAACATTCCATGGATTCGACCTTCACCTTGGTGTTTGTGTAAAAGTGATGATAGACCTTCTGTGCAAATTAGAAACAAGTATGGGGAAAATGGCTTTCCTTATCGGAGTCCTCTTTATGGTCTAAAGACATCAGTCATACAACCAGTAATCAGAATTGGGTAAAAGACTGAAGTTACACATTTCATGATAAGACCAATCCACTGCGTATGAAAACCCAATTTGGTTATCATTCTAGCAAGAAAGTTCCATTCTACTCTATCATATGCTTTGCTCATGTCAAGTTTTAAGGCAAAGTAACCATCCATCCCCTACCTTTTGTTTTTCAAGGTATGTAACATTTCATAGGCAACCGAGATGTTATCAGTGATTAGCCTCTCAAGGACAAAAGCACTTTGAGCATCACTAATACAAACAGTAAGGATGTGTTTGAGCCAATTAACTAGGACTTTTGCTAGAATTTTGTATATAACATTACACAAGCCAATTGGTCTAAAGTGGCTAACATTCATAGGATTCTTGATTTCTGGAATAAGACAATGTTAGTGTGATTTATATCCTCAATCTTTCTCCCCCCATTCAGACATTCTAAGCAGTAATTTATAATATCAATCCCAATAATATTCCAAAATTTTTAGTAAAAAAGTGATAGCATACCATCAAATCCAAGGGCTTTGGTTCGGTGCATCAACCTGATTGCTATTTGAATCTCTTCAGCTTGTAACTCTACAAGGAGTGAATTATTCATTTCTTCTGTTACCCGCGGCTCAACTGCCTCAAGAACATGCTCATAGTTATTTGTCCTGTTTAACTAAAATAGTTTCATGAAGTTTGCAGTGGCAGTTTGATGGATGTGTATATCAGTCTTTCTCCCCCCATCCTCCATTCAATAACCCTTTGATTAAATTTCTTTTTTTTTTTTTTTTTCGTTTGGTTACCTGTGCACGAAAATACGCTGTATTTTTATCTCCCTCACTCAACGAAGCAATCCTTGACCTCTACAGCCAAACCAGTTCTTCTTTTTCTAGTAGAAGGTTTTGCTCCTTTCATGCTATTTTCCTGTACCAAAGCTTCATCTGTTGGGCTTGAATGTTGAATGCCTCGGAGCTCTTTTTTCACCGTTTCTATTCTATTCCTCATACTGCCAAACATCCCATCTTGCCAGAGCTTTAATTTCTATTCTATTCCACGCCATGCATTTTCAATCACGTGCCCACAAACCGAAACATGCATCTCCCCCTGTGTTTGTTTTTACATTTTGCGCCATCTGTGTTCATTAATATAGGCACATGGTCAGGCACTACTAGATGTGACCATCACCTCGAACATCCAAAAGCAGTATGGAAAGCTCTTGGAGGACTTCAACAAAGGTTTGGACAACAAGAAGGAGATTGAAGAGCTCAAGTCTGATGTTGAGAAGTTCGCGTCCTCATTTGAAGTGCCTGGCTATATGTCCAAAATGAAGCACAAGGATTAGAACTAAATACTATCCACTCTTATTGCTGTCATTATCTGCATTTGGGTCTTTTGGAATGTTGCCTCAGTTAATGTCCTGAGCGGAAAAACAGAAAAAAAGAAAGGGAAAAGAAAATGAAGCAACTCTGATTAACACCAGCTTAGGATCACCTTATCCAACTCTGATTTTGAAGACATCAATCCAACACATCAGAATACAGTGACTTATTGAACTCCAAAAATTATTGAATAGCCGTTAAGAATTCCAAAATTCCTATGATTTGTTTAACGATTCAACTCAGTTATAGCAAATGAGGGCATTGCAATTCCAGTCACATCAACTAGCCAATACATTTGTGCAAAATAAGAATCATGCACCTCAGCCATCATTTTGATTTTTTTCCTTGTTTCTTCTTGATAACTTCATCAATGTACATTATACCCTTGCCTTTGTAAACTTCTGGAGGCTTGCAACTTCTAACAGTAGCAGCAAATTGGTGCACCCTCTGCTTGTCAAGTCCAGTGCAGCAGACTACATTGTTTTTGAAGCAGAAAACACGGACAGCTGGAGGAACAGTAAGTTCAACCTCATGACTGTATCCCAGTTTGAGAAATAAGAGCCTTCCCTCGGCTTCAGCTCTGGCTTTGTACCCAACTCCAACAATTTTAAGAAAGCGAAAGAATTTAGTCTCCATGATGATTGAAACAACAGCCTGATAAGTGTAGTCATTTAAAAGATCATCGTAAGGAAAGAAAAACAAATGTGGACACAAAGGAAATAAAAGAGCCATGAAACTCCAATAAATCATTTAATATTTGCATATTGGCTTCTCAAACCTTGGTTGCAATAAATTAGAAAGTTAGCATCTCTGAGACAACAATTATTTACTTTGAACTTCAAGTGAGAATAGTAACAACTTAAAAGTTAAAAAGTAGAAAAGACATCCCAAATCTGTGGTATTGCAATTCACATTCATGGATAACAAAGAGCAAAAACTTTTTTATTTTTCTTTTAATATTTTACGCATGACTAGTATATTTTAAAAGGAAAAAGACTAAAGCTCCATTTGGTTTTTGTTTCTTTTGGTAATTTACTCAGGTTATTCCTAAGCATTACCCTAATTCCCTCTTCGGGTGATTTTAATGGTGCACTCTCCCATAACGGAGTGCTTCCTATCACACAAGGATTGAACCTTAATAGACAAGAGAAGAGGCTCCTCTACATACCTTGGTATGGCTTTTGTTACTTGCATTTTACTTCTTAAAAAGTTGCTATAGTGCAAGAGCAAAATCATAATCAATTAAATATGAAAAATGATTAGAATGCAGCACCGAGTACAATACAAACGTTATACAAAGAAGTAAAATCATTCATTTTGTCATCTAAGACGATTAATTCTTCAAAAAGGCATTTATCTTCCGCAAGCAAAAACCCAAAGCAAAAGCAAAAACTGGCACCTAACTAACATACAGAAATCAAGAACCAATTGTTAAACAGGAAGGCAACAAAATTTTAATTAATTACAACAAAATGTGGTTCTATAACAGCTTTGAGTCAAGGTTTCCCACACCAATACATTGCCTTTTTAAAAAACGGAACCTGGAGTTACTTAGAAAAGTTAACAGGGCAGCTTAGAAAAGTTACTTAGATCATTTGGTGCCATAAATTGATCAGAACCAACTTTGAAGTTGGAATTTGTTGCTTAACAGATTCTAGTTTGCTTCAAGGTTCAAAACTGCAGTTGAAAGAAGGCAAAAGCATGGCTATTTGGCTGTCACAGACAGTTCTATGTTGTGTCCTTTTGAACAAACATAAAGTGATTTCTAAAATAATATGAACTACGATGGCTTAAAGAAATCTGACGTTGCCATGAAAATTTTGCAAAGATTTTGAGACAAGACCCACTATATTATCTTGCTCAACGTCAAACAGAGAAAAAGATGAACAGTTAATAACACATGTAACAAAAAAAAAAAAATCTAGAAATACAGACCTTGCCTACTGCTTCCTCCACCTGGCACCACCAGTTATGGTTCCGGTTAATTCACTGTTCAATCCTGAAGGAGCTTCGCTGCTGTTGCTGTTGCTGTTGCTGTTGCCGTTGCCGTTGCCGTTGCCGTTGCCGCTGACTGGGGAAGGAAGGGGTGGCTGAGAAGGGGCGCCGCTTGGTGTGATTAGGGACTCGAGAGAGTGGAAGACAATTTTGAACGTTCTATAACCTGGGCTAAGGCTAAGTGTGTCAAGCGATTTTCAACGTTTTGGCCCATGTAAAGCCCAAACTGGTTCCATTCAAGTTCCGAGTTCCCTTTACCTCCATGTCCACCCATTTCCATTGCAGTGGTCGAAATGGAATTCAAAGAAACCAATAGTTTTAGTTTGGATTGGGACCAGAATTTCACTGCCGAAGTGATCCAATTGATGGACGCCATTGAAGCCACTCTTCAGTCCTCTTCATCTTCTTCTCCATCTTCTCTCGTCAAGAAACGCCAGTCCACCAGCCTCCAAGAAAACAACCCCCAAACCTGCCGGAAATTACCTGATTCCATTGTCTCTCCACCACCTTCATTTCCATTTTCCTTCTCACGCTGTCAAGGTATTGCTATCAGTTCCTTTACCCATTTTTCTTTCACAATTTTGAATCAAATAATTAGTAAACCCTTTGATTTTCTGATTTGGCAGCTCGTCCAAGGTTTAGATATCCGCTATTGAGATTTGGAGGTCAAATTTTGTATAGCAGAACAGAAGCTGAGGTAGAAAAAGCTGCAATGGAGCTTTTGAAAGTTCTTGAAATCCAGAAAAAAGAAATGGGTCAAGTTTCTATAGGGTTTGATATTGAGTGGAAACCCTCTTTCCAAAGAGGTTTGCTTGATTGCTTTCCCTACCCTCCTTGTCTTGCTACATTCATTTCATATCATCCTTTTTGTTTGTGTTTTTGTGGTTTTTTTTTCTGTTTCCTTAGAAAGAATGTGTGAAAAACCAACTGTTTTTCAGCGCAAACTACATGATTTTCTTTATAGATAGAATTTTTATGTTAGAATTGGTATTGCATTGTTGTAATTACTTGTTTTTAATCAGTTGTAATTTTGCTGTTTAGACATTGTGGTATGCTATATTTTGAAACTAAATATTTATGCCTTGTGTTTGTTGATGTCCTGCTATATCCTTGCCTTGATGAAGGCCTTTCAATTTGTCATAAAGCAGCATTGCTACAATGTCTTTTAAAGCAGAAGCTAAGCACTCTTTACTCCCTGTTTCATGAGTTGTTGTGGCCATTATCAATCATTTCCTCTTAAGGCTATAACCATGAGAACCTCAATGGTTTTTTATTTGTAAATTTTATTCTATGTTGGTGATTCTTTTTCTTCTTGTTTACCTTCTGGTGGAAGTGGCCTATTTAAATCATTCTCAGATTGCATTTAGAAGATAGCATTGAAACATGAACACATTGAATTTGCATTAGTACGCATGGTTAAATATCCATTGTACTTCTAGGGTAGGGACTAATGTGGTCAACCACCTCCTAATATATCACTTGTCTATCTGGTTCCTGTCTTGCCTTCTTGACCTTTCATCAAAAGTAGTTACTATAGACATTGGCTCTCTATCAATTTCAGTAGTTAAGGGGGATGGGAATAACTTTATGGGACTTTGCAGAGTATGGGATTAGATAAAAGGGGAAATAATTACTTCCTAATTTTTCAATCACATCTGTAGAACTTCTTCCTGCATCTCGATGTACAAAGGGGTTTTGGTTACAATGCTGCCTAGTGGTTTATGAACCAAAAACTTTGGTTGCTTCCTTGCATCCAATTCAATTATATATAAGAGCTTCATATTCTGATTAAGAATCTTTATTCTCATTTTTTTAAGCCTTTTTGCAAAGGTTGTAGGGGAGTTAAGCTAAAATTGTCTTAAATTATACTGTATGGATAATTATTTATAGTTGGAATTTTGAGACTGCAGGTATTTTGCCTGGGAAGGCTGCAGTCATGCAGATATGTTGTGACAATAGGTATTGTTATGTGATGCATATTATTCATTCTGGAATACCTCAAAGTCTGCAGGTTCTCCTTGGGGATTCCACAATTATAAAAGTAAGTAATATCTTTACTCTTTACTTTGTGTCTTTTTATTGTCTACCTAAATTCCTGATTTTCTATATTGGGATTGTATATTTAGTTTTTAGCATTTCGAATTTATGCTCACAAATGAACAGGTTGGAGTTGCAATTGGTGGCGATGCTGTCAAGGTGTTCAGTGACTATAATGTATCTGTCAAAGCTGTGGAAGATCTTTCATATCTGGCAAATCAGAAGCTCAATAGCGATCCCCAAAATTGGAGTCTTGCAGCCCTCACTGAGAAGCTTGTTTGCAAAGAGGTATTCATCTAATTTAGCTATTTGAAAGCCTGGAGAACACTGAAGCAGTCCTTCATCTTATTTACACCTAATATGATATTAGTTCTCAACTGGTAAATAGTACTAGTATTTTACCTTCGACCTAGATATTTGGTTTAAACTTTCCTTAAGCAGCAAGGCTGAACACTTTCATTGGGAAATTTTATTAAAAGTTGAGTATTGCAGCTTCCGAAGCCCAAGAGAATTAGGCTGGGAAACTGGGAGTTGTATCCTTTATCCAAGGAGCAACTACAGTATGCAGCAACAGATGCTTTCGCTTCATGGCACCTATATCAGGTAACATTACTATATCACCGTCTATCATAAATGTAGAGAGGCTTCGATATTGTTTGACTTCATTGTCAGTCTTTGGTTATTATCACTGTTAAAATTGTTATTACATACAGCACTATCTTTTGCTTCCATTTTTTACTAAAAAATAGTTTTTTGTTGCATTGCAGGTCTTAAAGAACCTCCCTGATGCAGTAAAGGATCCGGCAGGTAAAAGTAAAGGTATTCTAACACAATGATTTTCGTTGTTTTAACATTTTTTTGTCTAATATCCTTATTAAGTTAAAGATTTGGGGTTTGCCACCATTCTGTTTTAATTCAAGGCAGAGTTCTCTTAGTTTCATAGAGAGAAGCGAGCCAAAGGCCAAGAAACAAAGAGGTTCAGTATTTGCCTATTTGGGAATTCCTTGTTTTTATTCTTGGCCACATGGGAATTCATTGTTTATATGCTGTTGCATATGATTTAATGTATACAGCTTAACTATGCCATGTTCCAGCAAAGATGATTCGCGTCGTCATTCGGAATCTAATATCTGTGTTTCAGAACAAACATTTTATTTTTATCGATTTAGCATGATCTATTTATGTTTATTTGTTTGTCAAATACTCCTTGTGCCTCTGCCTTTCATGTACCTTCAATGTGCTGAATGAGTTTATCCATGACATAATGAGTTCGGGTTTTAGCCCATGCCTTTGTTGCTTGGATTTAAAGGTAACTGGTTCTTTTAAAGATAACTGCACACTTCAACTGAAGTAAATACGGATTCAGAAAAACAAAATCTTTGATCAAAGCTAACATGTCCTAATTTCTGGTCCATATGAACCTCCATTTTCTCTGGTTGTTACTCAAAAATCTAACAAGCCACATGCCTAAGCACGTGGCTAAGAGAACAACCATTGGGACCTTCCTCTTTGGAGCAATCATTAGCCGTATGGCATTATTTTCTTCATTGTTTTTTTCTCCCTTTTGCCCCATGTCAAAGAAAGCTCGTGCAATATCATCAAATTTGTATGTTAAAAATTTAAAAAAAAAATCAAGATTTAATTTAGTTGATTTAGATTATCATTTTAAATGTATCGAATCCTTTAAATTGGCTTTCATTTTGAATTACGAATTTTTTATTAACATTTTTGGATAATATTTAAATGTTTTTAAATTTTTAAATTTTCACAATTCAAAAAAAAATGATACTATGATTTTGAGTTTTAAAACGAGAAATATTTTTTTTTCCATCTCATAAATCTCACCTGTGATTCAAATTTAAAACCTTTAAAATGAAACCTCAGAATTTTACTTCAAGCAAAATACAAGAAAAAATATATTTTTTCTTAAAAAAAAAAATTACATTACCAGAACAGTGCCAAGCAAATTGATTAGTCTAAGTCCTCAGGACTAGGGATGTAAATAATACATTAGTACTCGCAAGCTATTTGGGTTCGATTAGAAGAAAACTCGAATTCGATTCGATTATTATAGAATCGAGTTCGAGCTCAAGTAGCTCGACTTATCAATCAAGTTTAATTCAAATATTCTTATATCCGATTCGAGTAGCTTGCGAGCTTAATCGAGCTTTTATATTTAAATATATTTTTATTATTTTAATTAATAAAATATTTCGAATTCGAGTTCGAACTCAAGCATAAATAATCGAATTCTTGTCGATTATATAAATCGAGCTTATTTTTATATATTAATCGAGCTTAATCGAACGAGCTCGAGTAACTCAAATTCGATCACGAATCAAACTCGAGCTTGAAAAATAAAACTCCATCAAGTTCGAACCGAATATCGAACTGCGAGTTGTGAGTGGAATTCGAGCTCGAGCTTCTCACTGTATCGACTCGATTCGATTACACCCCTACTCAAGACCATTTTAATCAGATTCAATGCTTTTTATGCCAAAAGAAGGAGCAAGGAATCCACATGACATTGAATTCCTGCTACAGATAAGGCTCGAAAGAATTGAAGTTGCAGATCTGATGGATTACCTTTACATCCTAGAAAATATCAAAAACCAGACATGCATATCACCAACACTCCTCTTCAGTACAATGAAGATGGTCTATCTTGTTATATATAAATGTTATGGAATATTGTCCAAAAGCACTTGTTGAAGATTAAAATTATTATGAACACATGCTCGGCTCAAGTGGTAAAAAAAGTATGTTCTTTTCTTTGTTATTTGGATTCAAATCTGTTGAGAAATCATAAAATATAATTTTTCATAAATTCATTATATTTAACATAAATAAATTTATTTGAATTGATTCGAAAAAAAATTATCAAATAAAAATTAAAAATTTCTTGTCGTTATATATAAAAAATTAACATTATTTAACTTAATGATTTTTTAGTACATTTGATGAAATCAAACGACAATGTTAACAAGTGTTTTTAAACAATCATTAAATCCTTTACTATAATACAACATCGTCACAGTTAACAAAATCCAAACGTATGAAGAATATATTATTAGTTGTGCATTGAACATGAACTTATTATTAGTTTTAAATCCATGGAAGGAGGTGTGCCAATGAACAAAAAATATAATGTTATTTAGAGTGATGAAACTAACCAGGCTTGTTTTTCTTAAAACATTCGAGTTTAATTACTAATCACAGCTTCATTTTTTTTTTATTTCCTTCCGAAGTAACAGTGTGATTCCATTGTTAAAGCTAATTAAGGCTTCCATAGCTCCAACAATATCTGAATTAATTTTTACTAATTATCCTCCACTTTTTCCTAATTTAATAATAAAGCTTTAATATCTTTTCCAAAATCGGAGTTCATTCAATCATTCTTACAATTAATATCCAACAAATTTTGCATTTAACTCTAAGTTTAGGGTTTGTGGGAAACACTAAGAATCCATTTTGATGAGTAATAAATTTGATTCGAGTGAGATTGAAAATAATAATAAATGTGAGATTTAGTTATTATAATAGTGATATTTAAATCAATGATGAATGTGTTTGAATATGAATATAGCGATGACTTTGAAATAAAAATATAATAATAAATTATTTATATATTTTTTAATTTTATATAATGTTTAAAATTTTATAAATTGAAATATATAAATGATTTATTATATAATTATAAAAATATTATGCGAAAATCTCTAAATAAAAAATAAAAATATAATTAACAAAAAGAAAAAGACAAAGACTAAATTATAAGGGTATTTTGGTTCCTATATTATACATTGGAGGGTAAAGAAAAAAAGAGAAATGATGGTAAAGGCATAAAGAGATAATACGGAGCAGTGCTATTTACACTTTCATTTCCTTTTTTTTCATATCCCACTATTATTAACATCAATTTTTTCTTCTCTTCACATCTCAAACTAAAATATTAATTTATTAAAAATCCTAAACACTTCACATCCCCTCTCTTTTTCTTCATTCGAAAACTCTAAACTCTTTAGGGATTAAACCTCAAATCAAGCCCCAATCACCTATATAATGTTAGATAACTTAAAATCATAGATAAATCATTTGTTTTTTTTTTCTGTTTTTTTGTTTGATTTTATGTTTAATTTCAAAATATTTAAAATTTTAAGTTTAAAAGTACGATTTGAGACCACGATTCGAATATTCTAAAATTGAACTTCTTAAAATTGTTGAAAGTTTTTGAAAATAGATGTTCAAAAATTTTTTCAACATACCAAAATTTCATTGAAGTTTCCTAATAATTGCAATGTTTTTTAAAAATAAATTTTTGGTATAATTAAGAATTTCAAAAAATGATTTTTTGGTACATTAAATAAGTTTTCAAAAATTCATTTTTCATAACTTACTAAGAAGGGGTATAAAAGATAAAAAAATAATTAAATAATTGATATTTAAGTAATTTTTTTATAGGTTAATATTTTTAGGTGTATTGAGAGTTTTCTGTGGTGCAAATAGTCCTAAGTTGTAATAAATGATAAGGAGCAGTCTCATCTTTACACTATACATTGAAGGGCAAAAACGAAAAAAAAAAAAGATGACAAGGGCATAAGAGGGAAGAAAGGGTGTAGTGGAGAGGTTGATTTGAGTGGTGCTAAAATTACCTCCATTTTTTCATTTTACACCCTATTTTTTAGAATTTTTTTGTAAATAAAATTATTTAATTATTGTTCTCACGATTTTACGAGGTTTTATAATTTTTTGGAAATGAATTTATGAAAAAATTTATAGTTTTTTAAAAATAGATTTTCAAAAAGTTATAAATCTTTTCAAAAATAAATTTTTGAAAAATCATAAATCTTTTTGAAAATTTGACTATCCTGAAATTTAATTTCGAAACGGTTTATAATATTTTGAAAATTAATTTTCAAAAAGTCATATGATTTTTTAAAAATTTATTTTCAAAAAGGTTTATGATTTTTTAAAAAAATTTATGTAAAAAATAATTAAATAATTTTACTTACAATTTTTTTTTAAAATTGAGGTATGAAAAAAAAAAAAAAGATTGAATACATTTAGCAGCACTTTAATTGATTTTCCATCGGAGCCTTAAGTTTCAATGGCTATTGGAGGTTTCAGTACGGTGAAAAAAAGACTAAACCGCGCCATCCTGCACTTACAATTAAAGCTCTAAATCATGTAGTAATTAATCAGTGATCCAAATGCTGCCTAAATTTAGAGCAAAATACCAAACTCTAAGTTTATGTTTATGGGAAACATTTAATTACTTTTGGCTTTAAGAGGAGGAGGAAGGTGTAGCATCATGCTTATCATTATAAGGGTCAAGGTGTTTTTGCCACACTTGAAAACAAATGTGAAGCATGTGCTGCGTAGGCCTTCAATTATATTATGTCTTTTTCAATTTTCCATGTCTCTGACATGTAATTGTACGATCACCCTACGACCATGTGAAAAGAGAATGACATCCCATTCTTCGACCCAAGCAGGTAAAAAATTTCGAAATTAATGGTTTCGATTTGAAAATTGGACATCGGATCGAATCAAGTCAGGTGACATTAAAAAAAAATCGAGATTGAGTTTTAAGTAAATCTGATCATATCCGATTTGATATATATAAAAATAAATTTTTAATTAATTATTTAATTTTATAATTATTTTTATATAATTATTTATATATATTTAATTTTATATTTATATTAAAAATGATATTTTATTAATTTTAAATCGAATCGAATCGAATATAATTTTATACAATATCAAATTAAATCGAATTATGATATAAAAATAATAAAAAAATATCGAATAAGATCGAGTTCGAATTTATAATATTTAAAGTCGAATCAGGTTCGAAACGAGTAAAATCTCGTTCCGACCCGATCCGTTGTCATCTCGAAATACAATCTCTCGAAGTTTGAATGATAAGTGCCAACAGGAAAAAGAAACTTATAAATTCCTTCTGACAGGTAGTTTAACAATGGCACTGATGTTTCATTCGTTCCTTCATGCATTTAGGTTGACACCATGTTTGTTGGAAAGAAGGGAAATGGTGAGAAGAAAAATAAATGAAGAAAGAAAAAAAAAAAAAGGACGAGAGGGAAAAGTATCTGAAATATACTTTTCTTTTGTAAAAGCATCTTTTGAGGAATTCTTTATTTGAATTTAAAAATCATATTTTTAAAATGAAATATCAATTTTTTTTGTTATTTAATATTAAGGTTGAGTTGCAAACCATTTTTGAATAATGCTAAACTAGTATAATATTAATTTTTTAATAATAATGATTAAAATTAAAAATTTTAATTTTAATAACTTCGTCATCGAATAAAAAAAAAAAAGACAGAATGAATATATTCGTATTTGTTACACATCAAAGAGCTGAAAGAACATTTCAACAACATGCAAAATTTCAACCTTTCAAGAAAAAGGACGTGCCAGACCGAAGTTGTTGAAAGCGTCCATAAATGAGGAACCGACGTCAAATCAGAAGCTAACTTTCCTTAACAAATG